GCTCACTGTGAAAACCTTGAAACACTCCTCACTGAATTGTTTCTAAAAAAATAAACAAGTTTCAATATAAAAGCAGGTTTGCAGTTTTGGACAATATTTGTGTTTGATTTTCCTTCAATATAACTCACCTTAACCTCTTTTAGTTTGCTGAATTCTGCCATCACTTTTATCTTGGCTTGCTTGTTTTGTTTCAGTATCTGAGCACGAACACCAGCTGCTGACCTATATGAAAAGATTTGTATTTAGAGAATAACATAAACTATATATACATTCCAGGATATCATGCCTGGACTACTGCAATGGAGTTCTGTTCAGGTTCACCAGCAAAGCCCTGGACAGGCTCCAGTACATCCAAAACTCTGCAGCCAGGCTCCTCACCCGCACTAAGCCCTGGCAACACATTACCCCCACCCTCATCCACCTTCACTGGCTCCTGGTCAAGTCACGCATCCAGTACAAACTCCTCCTGCTAACCTACAAATCTCTCCACTCCCTAGCCCCTGCATACATCTCTGACCTCCTTCAGCCCTACACCCCCTCTCGTCAGCTGCGGTCGTCCGACAAAGGGCTGCTCTCCATCCAGCGCTCCAAACTGAAAACCTTTGGCAACAGACCCTTCAGTGTCGCAGCCCCCACCCTCTGGAATGCTCTCCCCTCTGCTATCAGGAATGCCGACTCTCTGGACACTTTCAAAAAACAACTCAAACACCATCTGTTCACACGGGCCTTTGGCCTCAGCTAAAATTGAGTACCCAGCAACCTGTTATATTTTTAACCTGTGTATCTATTATTATTTTGTTGTTTTGTTTCCCATTGTAAAGCGTCCTTGGGTCTCTTGAAAGGCGCTATTACATTTTTTTGAAATTATTATTATATCATATCACTACGCATCTCGATCTTGCTTTCAATAACCAGTGATCACATGGAGTAGCTTAATCCAGCATCACAAAGTGTTTGTGAAGCAACAACATTAGGACAGAAATAAATGGCTGAGATGTTGAGGAATCAAGACACACATGCAGACATTTTAGAAACATGGATACTGTTATGATCATGAATAACCTGGTTTATCATGTTTCAAGTGAACATTATATCCCTGAATACGATCAAAACGGATACTAATGTGCCTGTAAACGTAATCAATGTTTCCATGGTTTCTCCTCTTGGCCATCTCCGTCTCAAGCGTCAGTGTCTAAATTGGATGGTACATTTAACTGTGTACTTTTGGCATCTTAAACCACTTACTGATCATCTGAACCTCCAAAATGATCAGACTTGGTGCAGATAAAATGAATCTGCCGACACTCGCCACCATTTCCCATGAGGCTGCAGGATTCTTTCAGGATCTCCCAGGATTCTTTTTCAGCAGCTGCTCGATTGATCTCAGCCACAATCCACACAGTAGAACAGCTTCCAACAAGCTGGAGGGGAATACAGCCAATAATAACCGTTACATCGTCAGTGTAACCTTCCACAATAATCAGAACTTTATGTGGATGAATCACCTTTTTCCACATCCTGTCTCTGCTCTTGTTACGGTCCCCGTTTCCAGGAAGATCCACAAGTGTGACGTGCTGGAGAAAACCATTCTTCGGCACCCTGACAGTCACACACTTCACCAGTGGCCAATACCACCTCTTCACGTCTTTAGCATCTTCCTCTTTTGACTCACTTCGTGTGTATTTGACCAATTTTGCAGATAACTCTTTAGCCTAAAATAAACAAACTTTAAATTTAAAGTGCTTTAAAAGATTGTGTTAAAGAACAGCATAACATAAAAAAAGAGTCAATTTGACACCCTATGACTGAAACAACAATATCTGAATTAAATACACAAGTAGCAAACCATACATATATTTTAGCAATGGGGAACAATTTTTAACATCATATTTCAATGTAAAGCTGGTAGTGCGTAACAAATATCTAGGAGGTTCTTGCAAGCAAGTTAGTTACTGGTAGACATTTTCTTTCCTATGATGCATAAAGAAGATATAGTTTTGTAGTTATTGTAATTAGAGCCCAGATAGATCCAGCCTCATACCAAATTGTATCTGCGCATTTGGTGTTTTATCGTGAAACTACACCAGCCAAGAGTTTGTTTTATGAAATGATAGATGGATAGAATTGGAAGATGAAACTCTCTGTAATTGTCACACATGTTCATCCACACAGCACACACACAGTGAAATGTGTTATCTGCATTCAACCCATCCTAGTACTAGGAACAGTGGGCTGCTATTGTACAGCGCACGGGGAGGAATGGTAGTGGGGGGGGGTGGTGGGGGTGTCCGGTGCCTTGCTCAAAGGCCCCACGGCAGGGCCCAGGAGGTGAACTGGGACCTCTCCAAGTAGCAGTCCACACTCCATATTTTAAGTCTGTTCAGGGACTTGAACCGGCGACCCTACGCTCACAGTCCAAGCCCCTACTGACTGAACCAGACAAATTAACGATATAAGTTTTAGTCTTACTTACTGTATAACTTGTCAAAATCTTACTCTTGGAACTGAGAAATTTAGGAATTTCTTTGAAGTATTTTTTATCCATGAGGTTTTCAGGAGATTTGTTTCTCCATTCTTCTCCATACAGCACTGACAGCTTTTCAACACTGTCTTGATAATCTTCATCTTTTTCCTGATCTTCGTTATCACCAAGGAAATTAAACAAGGTCCACAACTCCTCTTTCCACTCCTAAAAAAATATATGTTTTATTATATGGCATGTTGTGTAGTCATTAGATTTATATTCAGCTTCATCATAAAAGTTGAAATAGCTCTAAGTTAACAAACATATTTAGCTTATTTTACCTCTTTTGTAATGAACTCGATTTCTGCCTCATACTTTGGGTTACGCATGTTAGCCTCCACTTTAATCATCACTGAGGTACATGCACTGATGCTTCCAGAGGGCAAGAGATTCTTCACTCCAATGACGGCATTTATCAGAGAGCTCTTTCCAGCCCCCGTTTTACCAAAGACGCCGACCACCTCCCTCTTGTCTGTCTCCAAATCTTATGTTATTTCTGTTGTGCATGAGTTTGAATATGGGTTTTTGATCAAATTAACAAATGTAACAAACACTAAATGATTGTGTTAAAATCAATAAGAAATCCATCTGCATGTACGTACATCCTATTTAAACATAAAAGTATCGTCAGACTAATCTTTGGACTTTAGAAAATGTGGACTTTTACGAATCACAACAGTGTCCTCAGTGCTGTATACTTTCGACAGGTTTACTATGGTCTCTGTGGGCGGCACCATAGGGAGGCTGTGGCTAAGTGGGTAGAGTGCTGGACTTCGAATTGGGTATAGCAAGTTCGAGTCCCACTGCAGTCAGCATGTCGTTATGTCCCTGGGCAAGACACTTCACCCCAAATTGCTCCTGTGGGGATTGTCCACAGTACTGAAGGTATGTAAGTCGCTTTGGATAAAAGCGTCTAACAAATGACATGTAATGTAATGAGAGAGAGAGGGAGGATGAGAGAGAGAGGGGGGATGAGAGAGATAGGGAGGATGAGAGATACTGTGTGTCACGTTTCATGATACACCCATTCAGCAAACAAATCAATCATATTTTTATTCGCTAAATAATTAAGTAGGTATAACCTGATTTGTACAGACACTCAATTTTCAATCCCCACCAAAATAATAATAAGACAAATAACAAATGGGAGTATTGGAGGCCTCTCACCCATAGGGGGAGCTTGGATGGACATGATCAGAAACAACACTCAGGTAGGCTGTGGCTTTTAAATGATGATCAATTGGTATTAAGCGGCCCAAAGTATGCCAAAAAATATCCCCCCCACCGTTACACCACCACCACCTCCAGCCTGAACCGTTGATACAAGGCAGGATGGATCCATACTCTCATGTTGCATTCTGACCCTACCGCCTGAATGTCGCAGCAGAAATGGTCTTGTGCATACCTTGGTTGTAAGAAGTGGTTTATTGAGTTACTGTTGCCTTTCTATCATCTGACATTTTCCAGAAAGAAAGTCAGATTTTGGAGAGAAAATGTTTTTATTTTAGGAAAAATTCAAAATGTTGAGGTTGTGTTAAAAAGTCAACATTTTAGAAATAGTTCGACTTTGGAGAAAGAAGTAAATGTGAGATTTGCAGAAAAGTCCGAATTTTGATATTTTCTGAAAAAGTCAAGATTTTGAGGAAAAAAGCCTGGAATTTCTTATTTTAAGAAAAAGTCCAAATGTGGAGGTCTTCTGAAAACGCCTGACTTTTGAGATTTTCTGAAATTTCTGCTTTTTTGAAAAAGTCAGCATTTTGGGAAAAAAGTTAGAAATGTTGAGATAATACTCAGAATTTGGAGAGCCAACTCGCCTGACCTGAACCCTGTAGAGATTCTATGTATTCTCGAGAGGAAGATGAGGCACAAGAGACCCAACAATGCAGACGAGCTGAATGCCGCTAGTGAAGCAACCAGGGGAGCTTTTATGCATCGTCATTTACATCACAAGCAGGGGAGTCATGACTCTTGTCCACAAATCAGTGCCCTTTCAAGTTTCTAATGTCATTAAGGATACATTTGGTAGATATTTGGTTATCCAGGGATCACTGCTCTCAGTTACCTTGAATTTGGTTAACATATACGGCCCCAATACAGATGAGCAGAGCCTGGCTTTCTTACAAATGTATTTCAGGAGAATATATAATTGCAGGGGACTGGAACTGCACACTAAATCCAAGCAGGGACCGATCTACAGGTGTTGATCAAACTCACACTAGAAGTAGAACTACTATTCAATATTTCATACAAGAGTTACATTTGTTAGACATCTCGAGACACCTGAAACCTAACGATATTGCTTACTCGTGTCACTCAAGTACTTTTCAGTCATATTCGCAGATAGATGGCTTTTTAATCTCCGCGATGTTATGTTAAAAAATATAGGACTGTTACTATGGCAGTATACTCATATCAGACCATGGAATATGTTGTATGGTGAACATGGACGAGAACCTTGTTAGAGATCCACCCAGATGGAATTTAAATCAGAAATGGCTATGTCTCTATATGTGGGGACAGAGATAGGCATTTATTTCAGGGATAATACTACACACGGTATGTATCAAGTGGGATGTCTTCAAGGCTTTTTGAGAGGATATATCATTAGTTATACTTCATCCAAATCCAGAGAGTTACTCCAGAAAAGACAGAAGAATAGAAATCCGAAAAATAGGTCCATACATTTTCCGCCACTTTCCGATTCACCAAACATTGCGTACCGGCGAGGAAAGTGCGTACAGCACTTCCTACGCCGGTTTCCCTTTATAAATCACAACCGACTCGAAATGCGGTGCAGCTTTTGCGGGCTTCACGTAACGCCCATGTTTGCCTATAAATAGTCAAAGAAACGCCCTTTCATTCATTTTGACTGACTGCATGGAGAAAATCGCAGGAAATGACGACAGCTAAAAAAGACATCTCACATTGTGTCAGATTTTGGTTATTTTGGGGAGGTCGAGATAAATCATATTGTTTGGTGGATGCAGTTTGAACCAGAGTAGCAGCATGGAGGTCGGATCATCACCAAAATAAATAAATAAGTGGTCCGAAAAAGGTTAATGACAAAAAAAATACACATAGCCTTCCTCAGGCAGTGTGTTTGTACCAGGGACAGGAGACCCCCCCTTGATGAGAAACTGTAAGAAATGATCGGGGAATCCCTCCGGAGTGGAGTCATGACGGCTGGATCTGAATTATGTTTTTGTATTTGGTGGTTTGTGTCCCAGCTGTCGATCAGCTGTGCGCAGCGTCTCCACTGCAGCCTGTGCATCTCAACCCCCCCTCCCACCCCCCCAGCAACTCTATATCCACCAGTTAAAGGAAATACAACTAATGTGTTGTGTTATATTAGCTGTACAATTGACCACATATGGTGCTCTTAGTTTCCATACCTCCTGTGTTTTACGAGCAAGTCTTGGCAAACGGCATAAAACACGATTAAACATGTATTAAACATATATAAAACCATGCTCGTATCTACAACCTATAGAAATGCAAAACGGCGTCAGTTTAGACGTAATTGACCTTTCGCAAAGCCACGCCCCTAAATGCCCGTTGTCCAATCATATTCGATCACGTGCGCGGCTCCCTGTGGAAGTCCGACAAGCTTAGCGTTCAAATTCATTGCGAAAATGGTGAAGCGTTGTGCTTATGGTCTTTGCAAATCGGATAGCAGATATCCCATAAGCTTAGAGGGGGTGATATTTTACCCGTTTCCTAAACCCAAAACCCGAGAGGAGAGATGCCGCCAGTGGATAAAGAAATGCGGCAGACCCCATGCCCAGCTGAATATGGCGAATATCAACAAACACAAATACGTTTGCTCCAAGGTAAATATGTGCTAACGTAGCTAGCTAGCAAAGATTACATTCACAAATTAACTAACTAATTTAATTAACTAATTTCACTAACTAACGTTAGCTAAAGTCACACGACTACAGCTGTAAGCTGTGTGCTTATAGGTCGTTTTGACCATGTATATCACTTGATGCATAATAATGTCTGAACAGCTGAGCTCCGTTATTAGT